GATGGGGGAAGGGCAGATAGCTCTCCTGCCAAAAAGCAGGCAAAGAAGACAGTGGATATTGGCAAGGGTCATACTAGGAGATGGCATTTAAGTATCAAAGGAGCTTCTGTTAACCTTGTCCAAGCAATTCTAAAAGTTTAGAGCTTGTTTTTTGTTTTTAAAGAAACAGTTTACAGTTTTTAATGAATCTGTAAGCCAAAAAGCTTCCATTTCAAAATAAAAACAAATCCCAGGTCATGTAGATGTTTACAGTGACTACGTTTATGTAAGCAACATACATACATGTTCAGTTTAAGATGTTAACTAAAATTCTGTGACAAACACGCGTTTTTGTTTTTTTTTTTAATTTATTTATTTATTTATTTATTTTTTTTATCACAACCATAGTGTATCTTTTTTTTTTACATGTATTCCCCATCCCGGTCCCCCCTCCCACCTCCCTCTCCACCCAATCCCTCTGGGTCTTCCCAGTGCCCCAGGCCCAAGCACTTGTCTCATGCACCCAACCTGGGCTGGTGAACTGTTTTACCCTAGATAATATACGAAACACGCGTTTTTTAAATACCAAGAACATTATAGAGTTAACGCCGCGTCCTAAGGATAATCTAGTAGTCACTAAGTTTTTCTTAAGTCTTCACTTCAGAGGCTGTTATTTCCAGCTCAAGTAAGCAAGCAGAGTCGTTCATATGCTCAGACTTGGAATCTTGATTACGACCATATCAGCTGGCTTGCAAACAGGAAGTCAACCATGTTAAGAATGTTTTAAGTGAACAACCTGCAAACCCCAGGGATGGATAAACCCTCAGAATGCATTAACAACCATAGCAACTGTACAGGCTATTCTTCTGAAATGAGATCTCTCAAAGCAGTATAGTGCAAAATAAAAGAATTTAACTAAAATTGGCATAGGCACAATTTTCCCACCAATTTTGTGTGTGTCAAGCATTTAGTGAACTTTTCCACTTGAAAAAGTGAAATAGAAAACTGGATACCATGTTTCACTAATGACAGAGCCTTCAGCTCAGAGGAGACCATCTCTGCTGACCAGAGCCACTTTAGAGGGAAGTGATTTTGCTGCTCGAGTCTCCTGTTCTGTGTCTTCTGTTCCTTGATTCATGCTTATGAACCTTTTGGTTTTGTCAGTCTGATTGCCTGTAGGGGTTTGGGCTGGCTGACACTGCGCACTTGAAGAGGCAGCCTGCTGTGCTGCTTTCTGCTTTAACACTATCCAGTCAAATGCATAGTCATGTTGGTAATTCAGGGTCCTGAAAAGAATGTGGAATAGCTGCCTCAGGTATGTGTAATCCGGGGCTTCCTCAAAGGACAGCCCACGACAATGCTTAAAGTACATGGCAAATTCTACAGGAAATCCGTTACATAAAACATCAACAGGTGTGGCCATCTTCATTTCGCTAATCTTTTCACATTTTTGCTTCATCGTTGCAGCCTTTAGTCCTTGCCATGGCAGGCTGGCTCTATTAAAATACATCAAAACATATCCTAATGATTCCATGTCATCTCGGCGACTCTGTTCAATACCAAGATGTGCACGGATGCTAGCATAGAGAGGCGTGCCAGTGAGACTTTTACCCTTTCTGTACGATATGTGTTGCCCCGTGCTGGGGTCTCTGTACTTCTTGGCCAAACCAAAGTCAATAAGGAATAACTCCTTCCACTGCTGCCCAGTACCCATTAGGAAGTTTTCTGGTTTAATGTCTCTGTGTATCACATTCTGTGTGTGCACATGTTCGAGTCTACTGATCATCTGATCAGCTAACATAAGTACAGTTTTCATTGTGAACTTTCTTGAACAGAAATTGAAGAGGTCTTCAAGGCTGGGTCCCAGAAGATCCATGACTAGCACATTAGAGTCTGCTTCCTGACCAGACCACCGTATCTGGGGGATGCCAACCCCACCTTGAAGAACATTATAGAGCTCCTTCTCATATACCAACCGGGGCTGCCTCGCATCCTGTGACTCTAGTTTCACTGCCACTTCCTCGTGGTTGGTGAGGTCTATCGCCAAGTAAACGTCCCCGAAGGAGCCACACCCGATCTCCCGAACCAGTTTATATCTCCCTCCGACAATGGAATCGGCCTTGGGTCCGCTGCTGCTCGCCATCCTGAGAGACAAAGACGGGGTTGGGGTTAAGCTCCGACACCTCTAAGGGGACGATGAATGCCCTTAGGGTTCGTCCAGGGAGCAAGGCCGTGAAGGCAGGCAGGAAACAGGGAACGCTGGCTGTTTCTCAGCGTTACAGGGCCCAGAATCGGTCCAGGGGAACCTGACCACCGCTACTGTCCGGTTTCCTTTCACCAGCCTGCAGACTGTTGAGGGGGTTCTCACCGTTAGCCGGCTGAGCCTCTGGCTTCTGGCGGTGGCCGTGGCCTCGCTTCCGCGGCGACTTCGGGGGCTGGTAAAGGGGAGCCGTGGAGTTATGGCGGCGATACCACTGCCACCAGTGCCGCCGGCTCCCGCCAGGAGGGACCCCTGATCACTCCGCCGGCGCTGCCATCTTGTTATGAAGGCTGCAGCCAACACAAAGTGCCCGGTGTTCCAGGTGGGCGCGTCATGGCGCGGAGAACTCTGGGAAAGGAATCCCGGGTGCTCTTAGAACCTTCAAGACAGATTATCTTCAGAGCCTTTCGAAGGCATCAGCCTGTCCTAGAAAAACAGATCTACTCCACGTCCCCCAGCTACTCGGGTCACACATCTGAGCAGCCGTGATGTGGGCTTTCCTCCTCCAGTGTCCATGGGCCGTCTCCTTTCTCCAGCTTGAAGATGACCTCTGGTTTGGGAGCTTGGTTCCCTGTGAACAGGACACGATACAGGATTGGGTCCACTAAATTGGGTTTCAGGGCCTTTCAACCACGCTCCTATTTGCTCTTCAGGAAAGTAATCCCATTTCCCTGGGAATAGAGTAATAATCAAAGAAGTGTAAAAGGACTGAAGTATCTCGGGCAAATCAAAGATGACACCATGACACACTTCAGATGCCCCAGAGCATTCAGCAGCTGAGAACGGAAGCAGGCTCTCTGAGGCCCCTGGAAGGTGCAGAGGGCAGCCGTGCTTACTGACCCATTGCACACAGTTGGCTGTAGGTCTCCAGTGTCGCATCCTGGCCCAGGCACCTCTGCACAGGGTCCAAGTGCTGCCACTCCTCCCTGCTGAAGTCCACAGTGACGTCCTCGATGACCCCTGTTACAATACAGTCCCGTTCAAGGTGACATGGTCGGCACTGGGGCTTGGATGGAAGAGAACTAGGAAGTTAGTTGTCTTTAATGATTTTCGCCATGATACGCTATGCTTATTAAACACCTAGTTATACCTAACATTGTGCAGGGTAAAAATATCTAAAGCTATTCATTTCTCTTATTCACCATGTGTTAAATTCAACCAGTAAATCATTATTCAGAAATTAAGATTAAATCAGCTTTTCTAAATCTTCCAGTTCTTAGGAAATACCTAGAATTCATTTCTCAAACAGGTAGGTGCCAGACTTGCTAGGTTCTTTGGCCAGTGCTGTGTGCCCGACTCTTTGTAACCCCATGAACTGTAGCCCACCAGGCTCCTCTGTCCGTGAGATTCTCCAGGCAAGAAAACTGGAGTGGGTTGCCCTTTCCTTCTCTGGGGGATCTTCTTGACCCAGGGATGGAACCGGAGTCTCCGGCATCGGCAGGAGGATTCTCTACCACTAGCGTCACCTGGGAAGCCTGAGACCTCAGCAAAAACACAGTTATTCCTATTTCTCCCACCAGTTTCCTTGAGGCAATCTAGACTTTTTCCGTCAGCCTCTCCCCGCTGCTCAATTCCAAAGCCACTTCCATGTCTTTTTAGGTGTTTTCTTACAATAGCACTCCACTCCCAAGTACAGAAAGCTGTTGTTTCCTAGGACTGTTGTAACCAAGTATCACAAACCGTGTGGCTCAGAACAACAAGAATTTCTTGCCTTGCAGTTCTGGGGGCCAGAGGTCTAAAATCAAGGTGTCAGCCAGGTCATGCTCTTGTTGAAGGTGCTAGGGAGGGATGTGTTCCATGCCTCTCTCCTGGTTCCTGGTGGCCTCAGGCATCTTTTGCCCTATAGATGCATCACTCCAATCACACGGTCATCTATTCCTTGTGTGCCTCCGCACAGTCTCTCCCGTGTGTTTGTGTGTCTCTGTGTCTACCCTTCCCTTTTTTGTAAGAATGCCAGGCATATTGGATTAGGGCCCACCTAACAACCTCGTTCTAGATTGATTACTTCTGGAAAGACCTGAAAGGTTACTGCTGTGAGCCGTGTGCTACGCCGGGATTCGTGGCCTCTGGAGGAGAGGACTTTGATCCAGGGCAAGAGACGAGGCTTGCCCACTGGAACATTTTGGGTAACAGAATTTTATTAAAGTATAAGAGAGATAGAGAAAGCTGCGAACATGGACATCAGAAAGGGGCAGAAAGAATGCCCCCTTGCTAGTTTCTGGCAAGGTGTTTTATGTCTGTTAGCAAGTTTATTAATCAGATAAGAGTGACACCTCAGGCTGAGGGAGTTTCACCAGGCCCCTCTCCCACACTATGCATTTTTGAGATAGAATGGCCCAAGGTGTGTCATCCCCCGGCCATAAAACAATTGACATGAATACTGGTTTGTTGAGCCATTATCAGCCCAAGGGTTGAGAAAAGGGGGGGGGGGAACGTTAGTCTTAGGCAGAACCATTTTGAAGAAAGGCAGGTTCCAAAGCAAATACATGGTTTCGTTAACATAGCTTAAGAAAAACGTTTCCATAAGAAAAACTTATTGGTCAGCTCAAGGCAGAACTAGGTGTCGTCAACACATACAGAGAAGAGGAAGAAACTTCTGCCAATTGCACTTTATTTTCTCCTGCCGCTCTGGGACTCCTGGCCTTCTTACCTGTTACCATCTCAGGCCCTATTTTTAATTAAGGCAACATTCAGAAACAGTGGGGGTTAGGACGTCAACATATTTTCTTGGATGGACACAACTTTACTCATAACAGGGTCCTCATAGATTCACAGGGTAGCTGTGCATGCCCAGTGAGAGAGAGGAGGTGGCTGTAGTTTTCAGCATCATGTCCTGGTACAGGAACCTCTGAGCAGAGTCCAGGTGCTGCCACTCCTCTCTGCTGAAGTCCACGGTCATGTCCTCGAAGGACACTGACACCTGTAACAAACACCAAGGACACTGACAGCTGTAAGCACAGCCCCATTTGGGGTGACCAGGTCAGCACAGGGAGATAAGGGAAAGATAGGAAACTGTTTTTAGTGATTTTTACCATAACACCCCATAGGCTATGCCTTTTAAAGGCCTACTTACACGTAATGTATAGAATAAAAATATCTAGTCATAAATTTCTGCCATCCATTGTAGCAGTCTTTCATTTTAAAAAATAATACTTTTTATTTGTTATCTATTTTATACATAGTAGTGTGTATACCTGACTCAGTTTGCTCTAGAGCAGAAACTAACACAGCAGTGCAAACCAACTATACTCCAATAATAAATAAATAAATAAATAGAGTGATTGAAAGGGGAAAAAGTAATAATTTTGTCCAGGATTTGAAGTTTATTCTACTTTGTTGCTCATGTTGGTGGGAAATTTGTGTTTATTCCTTTTTTAAGGAGGCATGTATACTTTATTAAAATGTATTTATTTATATATCTTTGGCTGTGCTGGGTCTTTGTTCCTGTGCATGGGCTTTCTCTAGTTGGGGCAAGCAGGGGCTACCATCTAGCTGTGGTGCGAGGGCGTCTCATTGCAGTGGCTTCTCTCGTTGGAGAACACAGGCTCTGGAGCACACAGGCTTCAGTGGTTGGGGTGCACAGGCTCAGGAGTTTGGCGCCCGGGCTCTGGAGTGCAGCCTCAGTAGTTTTAACGCACAGGGTCACTTGAACAAGCGGCCCCTGCCTTGACAAATGGACTCTTAACCATTGGACCAGCAAGAAAACCCAGCATCTACACTTTTTTTCTCAATTTACATAGCTCCCTCTACCGCCGCTTTCATTTAGTCTTCAAAAATACAGGCATTTTCTCTTGACACCTTCTTTCTGGGTCAATTTTAACTTAATTCCACAGTTGTCAGGCAACGTACCCTGTCTGATTTCAACACATGGTCTATCTAGAAGAATGTTTCATGTGTCCCCAGAAAAGAATGTACATTCAGCCAAGGATGGGTGCAGTGTTCTCTAATATAGAAGTCAACTTGATTGAGTGTTGTTGAAATTTCATATCACTTTACTCATTTGTCTTCTATTTGTTCAACCAGTTCTTTGTCAACTTTTTGGTGAAAACTGAAACAGAGATGTTAGAAATTTATATTGCTATGCAAAGGAACTAGAATACACAAAGCAGGCATTAACATGGAGGATTTCTATTATGTAATGTTAAGACTTACTCTGCTGCTGCTGCGGCTGCTAAGTCGCTTCAGTCGTGTCCGACTCTGTGCGACCCCACAGACGGCAGCCCACCAGGCTCCCCCGTCCCTGGGATTCTCCAGGCAAGAACACGAGAGTGGGTTGCCATTTCCATCTCCAATGCATGAAAGTGAAAAGTGAAAGTGAAGTCACTCAGTCGTGTCCGACTCTTAGCGACCCCATGGACCGCGGCCTACCAGGCTCCTCCGCCCATGGGATTTTTCCAGGCAAGAGTACTGGAGTGGGGTGCCATTGCCTTCTCCGTTAAGACTTACTCTAATGCTACAATAATTCAGACAGTGTGGTATGGATGTAAGTACAGACACACATATTAATGAAACAGAATAGAGGGTCTAAGAAACAGATTTGCACACCTATGGACAATTGTTTTATGAAAAAAGTGACAAAGTACTTAAATGGGGAAAAGGAAAGCCTTTTTAAAAAACTGTGCTGGAACAAATAGATAAAACATTTTGGAGGAGAAAACAAACTGTGATCCACACCGCACACCATATACAAAAATTAACTTAAGTGTTCTCACCGCGCACACACACACACACACACACACACACCAAGTAACTCTGTGAGGTGAAGAGTGTGCTGACGAACTTGATTGTGGTATGAAAACAGGTATAGAGATCAATGGGACAGATGAGAAAATTCAGAAATAAACCCACACATTGATGGTCACTTGATTTTTACCAAAGGAGCCAAGAATATGAAAAGGGAAAGGACCGTCTCTTCAGTTAATGGTTTGGGAAAACTGGACAGCCACATGCAATAGAATGAAACTGGAACACTCTCTTACACCACACATCAAAGTTAACCGAAAATGGACTAAAGACTTGATCATAAGACCCAAAACCATACAACTTCTGATGAAATCAAAGGTGGTAAGCTCCTGATATAACTTGTGGAGATAAATTCTTGGATTTGACACCGATATCAAAGGCAACAAAAGCAAAAATAAACGAGTAGGAATATACCAAACTAAAAAGTTTATGCCCAGCCATTGAGACCGTCCACAAAATGACAAGGCAGCTTACTGAATGGGAAAAATATTTGCAAATTGTGTGTCTGATAAGTGGTTAAAATCCAAAATACGTGGGGCTTCCCTGATGGTTGAGGTGATAAAGAATCTGCCCGCAATGCAGGACACCCTGCTTAGATCCCTGGGTCGGGAAGATCCCCTGGAGAAGGAAATGGATTTAAGGAAATAGAATTCAAATCCATAGATTTAAAATCTGTGGATTGGGTTGACAACACTTCAACACACGGAGAGAGAGAACTAGGCATAATGTGCCATCTGGAGGGATGAGTTAACAAGCATTCAATACCACTTCTGAAGTACGGTTGCCTAAAAATCGAATCTGTTTTGATCAAGCCTCTAAAATTATCAGTTCATATTAACACAGGGACTTGGGAACTATGAAATAACACCGCAAGGATACAATTAGGAAATTCCACAAGGTGGAACATAGTTCAGGGCAAGTGGCCCAGTTGCTTCAACAAAAACGTAGCCAGGGGTAGAGCCCACTACATCAGTTCCAGATTCAAAGGGGCTTGAGAGATTATTGGGAGACTATTCTCCACAAATCTCATATTTCTGTATATCTTTCAAGCAGACCGAAGATTGCCTTTGTTCCAAACTATCTTTTTGAATGTTTATATCGTGAACAGCCTAAGAAGACAGGGTCTCCCTCTCCAGAGCAAAGGGCAAGTTATACTGGAAATTATGCTCAAGATATTTCTTCCTCAAGGCAAGGATCAGGCAGGCTTACTACCTTTTATGAAAGACTCAACGCCCATAAGCTAGGGGTGCTTCTCCTATAATGGAACCTAATGCACACGCAGGATTTATCTGGCCTTCTGCAACACCCTGTGGGGACTGAGGCTTAGGGAACTTGTGAAAATGGTGATACTCTGGCTGCCACTAACGCTGTCAGTATTCAAGTCCTTTGCCTCTGACCCAGGAGTCTCATGCTTTCTACCAGCAGGCATAAAACCATGGCCAGCTAACTTGTTAGCTTTCACGGAGGATAAAATTTTAGACGCTATGCCTCTACTACGGAAGCCCACGCACCTAGAGCCTGTGTTTGGTTACAAAAGAAGCCTCCACAGTAAGTCCACACACAACAACGAAGAGATGCCCCTGCTTGCTAAAACTAAAGCAAAGCCTACACACCAACTGAACACCCAGCACAGACAAAATTAATGAAAATTTAAAAAAATAAACGAACCCATACCTGCCAACATCTTGACTTTAGCCCAGTGGGAGCCATTTAGGACTTCAGAACTACAAGACTAAAATTTTCTGTTGTTTTAAGCCAACGAGTTTATGGCAGTTTGTTACAGGAATGATAGTAAACGGACAGAGGCAAATTAAGGAGATTTGAGAGAAGTGTCTGGAATCAGTAGTGGAAATGTTGATCAAATTGTATGGTCAATAAACGGTCCTCCACTTTACTGCCAGTCAGTGAGGAGGAACTGGAGAAGTTATTGCATATGAAGTACCCTGAAATAGGTTTAAAGACAGCTGCCTCAATAGTGTTACAGTTGGTCTTAACTCTTCCAGGTGGGGGACTTCCTCACCAAACTGGTCAGTCTCTAGTGCAACTAATTGTACACACTCTTATTGTAACAACTAGTACAGGCATACCTCAGGGATATTGTGGGTATTCCAGACCACCACAATAAAGTGAATATTGCAATAAAGTGAGACACAAATTTTTGGTTTCCCAATGCATGTTAAAGTATCTTTTATACCGTATTGTAGTCTACTAAGTGTTCAACAGCATTGTATCTTAAAAACAATGTAAATTAATTAATTAAAAAAATTTATTCTTTAAGGGCTTCACAGGTGGCTGAATGGTAAAGAATCCACCTGCCAGCAGAGGAGACACAAGAGATGGCGTGTCAATCCCTGGGTCGGGAAGATCCTCTGGAGGAGGAAATGGTAACCCTCTCCAGTATTCTTGCCTGGAACATCCCATGTACAGAGGAGCCTGGCAGGTTACAGTTCATAGTGTTGCAAAGAGTCAAACACGACTGAGCACAGCACAGCACTTATGCCTAAATGAGGCTAACCATCATCTGAGTCTTAGGTGAGTCGTAATCATTTTGCTGATGGAGGGTCTTGCCTTGCTGATGATGGCTACTGGTTGATCAGGATGGTTTTTGCTGAAGGTTGAGGTGGCTGTGGCAATTTCTTAAAATAAGACACAAATGAAGTTTGCCTCACTGACTCTTCTTTTCACGAACGACTTCTCTGCAGCATCTGATGCTCTTTAAAAAAAATTTTTTTTAAATTGAAGGATAATTGCTTTACAGAATTTTGCTGTTTTCTGTGCTGACCTGCACTACCAAAGGAGTTCCTTAAGACAGAAGGCAAATGATACCGGATGGAAATCTACATCTACACAGAGGCATGAAGAGCACCAGAAATGGTAACTACATGGGTAAATATAAATATTGTTCTTATTGTTTGGATCTCTTTAAAAGATAACAAACTGTTAAAAATTAGAATATCAATGAATCATGCCATTTATAATATACTCCAATTTAAATATATGACAACAATAGCACAAAACATGGGAGGGGACATGGAAGTATGTTGTTGTAAGGTTCTTGAATTATACATAAAATGGCATAATATCACGATGTTAAATTGTAATAAGCTAATGATATCAACACTATAAACCCTAAAACAGCCACTAAAATAAAACATGGCAATATTAAAGCTCTTAAAC